TGCACCACCATGTCTGGCTAATTTTTGTATTTTTTAGAAGAGACCGGGTTTCGCCATATTAGCCAGGCTGGTCTTGAACTCCTGACCTCAAGTGATCTGCGCTCTGCAGCCTCCCAAGGCTTAAAGCTTCTTATAATGGCCCTGGTGGTTACACTTTTTATTCAACTTAATTTTATTACAGTTACTTAATTTTATTACAGTTACTCTGCCCACAAAATTGAGTGCAAGACCTCTTGTGATTGTGTTGGGAGATGTCAATTCAAATGATATCTTGCTAGCATTATGTCAATTATGCGTCCTTCTCAATGCTGTTGATGAAGCCAGTGCACCTCAACCCTGTTCCTAGAGGTTAAGTTGCTTTCCCCACTGGAAACATTGTATAAGAGCCAAAAGCTTATCTGCTCAGTTTAAATGTATCCTGCCCTCTCCTAGGACTTACTGCAATGACAAACATATAAGAGCTGTTAGAACTCCGTGATTTACACACAGCAGGCACCTGGCATTTTAAGCTGTCTTCCTGAAATGCTCACTGACAATAAAAGTATTGAACACATCAGGACTGAAAACATAGCTTTATTTTGTGCCAGCAAAGACTCTCGTCTCTCCCCTCCAGGTTGACATCGATCCATTAATCAACAGTATGTTCAATAATAATTAGTGAGTTATGAATTCAACTGTGTGCCTATATCTTATCCCCAGGGGATATCGTAAGACGAATCATCAAACACCTTGCCGAAAACATTATCACATTTTCTGTTCTACTTTAATGTTACCCAACTGGTAGAAAACACAGAAGACTTAATTACATATTGTTCTTTTTTTTTTTTTTTTTTTTTTTTGAGTTGGAGTCTTAGTCTGTTACCCAGGCTGAAGTGCAGTGGCATGATCTCAGCTCACTACAACCTCTGCCTCCCGGGTTCAAGTGATTCTCCTGCCTCAGCCTCCTGAGTAGCTGGGATTACAGGCACTCACCACAGTGCCTGGCTAATTTTTGTATTTTTAGTAGAGACAGGGTTTCACCGTGTTGACCAGACTGGTCTCGATCTCCTGGCTTCATATGATTCTCCCACCTCGGTCTCCCAAAGTGCTGGGATCACAGGTGTGAGCCACCATACTCAGCCTTGTTCTTAACACGTAGTTTGGCCCCTTGCAGTGGTTTCCGTAACTGTTAATTCTAAGGATTTGGCAGAATCAAGCTCCAAATCAAAATCCAGCCTGTGTGGAATCTGCCTTGTCTACATTAGGATTAAGGGAGGCTAAGAGAGGAAGGTAGTTAAGATGCATTATTATTTGAGGTTGCATTGAAAATTATCATTATTGTTGTTTTACTTAATATTCTGATTTTTAGTGGCAATAACCAGAAAATGGCTTTCGAACAACAACAAAAAAGAGGTCTGGAGCTCCAGAGCTGATTTTACAGCTCTCACAGCATTATATTAGTGACACCTGCAGACAAACATCATGCATTGCAGAGGGAAGGAAATTTTTTAAAAATCATAAACCTCCCAAGCCTCAGTTGTGCAACATATGTTACTAACTTGTTCTTTTTGATTGTCTGTCCCAAGAGAGGCATTCTGGTTGCAAATGTCCAATCAACAAACAACTCTACAATATCCATACTATTATTATCACCATTTTACAGAGGGAGAAATTAAGGCACAGCTAGTAAGCAGTAGAACTGGAATTTGAATCCGACCAGTGTGATTCTAGAGCATGCACATGGTAACCACTACGGCATATAAAACCTCCTGTTTTGTTTCTATATTCTGTCAAAAAATGATGCTTGCAATATAAAAGAGTAGAGTGAACATTAGTAAGAGGAAATGGAAGCCCAAGAAGGAAGAGGTGATTGATTATGAGATACTTTCTTTGAAGAAATCCTATCTTCTGATCTGGACACAATCCCAGAATAGCAAGAACATCACCTAAATGTGAAAGTGAAGATCCCTAGGCCCCAGCATGGGTTCACAAAGAGTAAGTCATAATCAGACACACCTCATTTTCTAACAGGCTGTTGTCTAACTGGATTTCAACAAGGTCTCTCAGCCTACTTGTGTGGATAAGATAAAGAAATATGGCTAGATGCAAAATCAATTATTTTCATGGAGGTTGATATGACTTTACCCTGATGTTCTGATGATTGTCAACCTAGAACAGGCTTTCAGTGGCAAAATCTAAGAGTTGGCTTCAATCCTTTGGCTAGCTCTTTTATTCACTGTTTAGATGAAAATCTTAGGTCTCAGTCAATATAGTGTGCAGATAACATCAGGTGGGGAGGCACAGACAAAATACTGAATGACGGAATTGGAGGATCCCAAAACATGGTAACAGACTGGACCACTGGACTGATTGAATGAGAGGGAGGTAACTAAATAGGAGTGAACATGAGGCCCTTTATCCCAAAGTACAAGTCACCTTTTGTTGAGTGACCTGGCGCAGGCTGGGCGAGACTTTTTAGAGCGGTGCAATCAACAGAAATACAATGTGAATGACATATATAATTAAAATTTCCTATTAGCCAAATTCTGAAAAGTGAAAAAAAAAAACCTCAGGTGAATTTTAGTAATATATTTTGTTTTTAATCATCTATTTTTATTTCACCAATTATATTCAAAATACTGCCATTTAAACATGTAAGCAATATAAAGTTGAGATACTTTACATTCTTTTTTTTTATACTAAATCTTCAAAATCCAGTGTGTATTTTACACTTCACAGCACCTCTGTTTGGATGAGCTACATTTCAAGTGCTCAGTTGCCACATGTGGCTACCAGATTGGACTATGCAGCTCTAGAGGGTTTTCACCGACACTCAGTGGGATGAGACTGCCCCCCAGCTGTGACATTCTCAGGCTGGCTGCATTATTAGAGGAACTGTGCTTAAAGTTAAACAACTCAGAAATATTTTATTTCTCTTAAGGGTCTGGGCTCTTTGACGTCTAAAATCATGATGGATGCTGTACTGGTGCCTACTGCCTGTGACCTGTGTCCAACACTTCACCGTGAGTCTTGGGGCAATTTCAGTGACCAAAATACTAGAATTTTAAAAAGTGAACACTTACCAAAGGGCCTCTTCTTCTCTTGCTTATCTTTCATAGTCCTTGGATATCTTTTGTTCATGGTAAAGGTTGCTACTAGAGTTAGCAGCAGTTTTTTTTCAACGAATAGAATAAAATGATCTTTCCATTCCCATTTCTAGTAACACCCAATGGAACTTTTCAAATAGGTTTTAAGTTTCCATATCCTGTTCCCTTTTCAGTAATTTCTGAGCACATCTGAGATATTCAGTAATCGAGCACCTAACCAATAGTGAATGCAGCTAAGGGGCAGAAGTATACCTAAGTGAGTAAGTGTCCGAAAAGCCAAAAAAAATGTTCAAGATGCATAAAAGACCAAACACAAAAATATCACCCTTCATCGTCTCCATTTTGCAGATGAGAAAACTGAGGTTAACTGGCTTCCTCAGTGTCACGGCAATTAAGTCTGATTCCAGGCCAAGCATCCTTTCAGCCTCATTACATAACTCCCCGGAATGGCTTTTTTTTCCATGCAGAACTGAAGGCATTATTATCTGTTCTTCCACATGAATTACCTAGCATCTTCCCTCTACAGTGTTTATTTTCCCTTCCTAAGAAAATCTGTGGAACTTCAATATAAATCTTTCCAAATTATAATGTGCATCAGGTAAAGCACTTAAAGCTACCTGACGCTCTCCTTACAGAGTCCAAAGATGAAATAATATTCTTTCTTAACTCATTAAATCATGGCAATCTAGACAATGGATAACAAGGTGACAAAGCCTCATTAGCAGTCTTCTTTGTAGGAAACACGTTATTTCTATGGGGTCTTTCTCACCAAAACTAGTAGCGCTAGCTCTTTGTATCATGACTGACCCTTGCAAACATCTTGGAAAAATGGGGATTAGTAAGTGCAAATTATGATCAAGACTTCTCCTGGGCTAAAATATGCAAAGGAAATCATGATCATTCTTAAGAAATGCTCAATTAGAGGTAATTTAGTACATAATGAATCTTACATGTACAAAGTCCCCTAAACTCAGACACGTATTTATGTGGTTTCATTTAATTTTTTGTTTTTTAGAGATGAAGTCTTGCTCTGTTGCTCAGGCTAGAGTGCAGTGGTACCATCTCAGTTCACTGCAACCTCCACCTCCCAGGTTCAAGTGATTCTCCTACTTTAGCCTCCCAAGTAGCTGGGATTACAGGTGCCCACCACTGCACTCAGCTAATTTTTGTATTTTTAGTAGAGATGGGTTTTTACCATGTTGGCCAGGCTGGTCTCAAACTCCTGACCTCAAGTGATCAGCCTGCCTCGGCTTCCCAAAATGCTGGGATTATAGGTGTGAGCCACCGTGCCCAGCGATTTCTAAGATATGTATAGCCAAGGCAGGGATGCTGCTGGAACTATGCTGATAGCTGGAAGGCAGCTCCACACACAGTGCAACAGCAGTTGTTAGACAGAATTGAAATACTAACTAGCAGACAAAAAGTCCAAAGTACAAGAAAAGTAGAGCATGATGTAACTATATATAAGAAAATGAAGGCGATTCAAAAGTCAAATGTACTCATCACATCCCATCTGAACTGGGTGCCATGAGAAGAGCAAACGAAATTTGCAACTCTAAATTCTTTTTCTAGAATCAGTGGCAGTCCTTGTTCCTAAACAAACCAAAGGCTTTCCAATCATGAGGGCAACTGAAATGATATACATGAAAGGAGCTATCTAAACAGTAAAGTGTCCGTATTGGATTATTATTCCCAAATTAGAGAAAATATACTTCCTCAAGGACAATTAGATCTTTGTGTAACCTTCATTCATGGACCCCAGTCAACCATTCAGTTTCTTCCAAGCTCCTTTCTAGCAGACACTGTGTGTTTAATTGGGCATGGGGACTGGATCTCTGTCACTGTTTTGCATGCTTGTGCATCCATCTTCCTTGATGGGAGGACAACCCAAATAGCTCACAGAAGAAACAGGAGTCATGAAAAAAATAACAACAAAATGTATTTAAAAACAGACTTCTCCAGTTGGCATTTTGAATGAAATTGCTAACAACTCCAACCCTCTATGTCGTGTTTCCTTTGCTCCTGGAGTCCTCTTGCAGCTTTAATTCTTGAAACTCAGGCGGCAGCACCAGACATTAAATCCCCAAAGGGAGAGGTATTAGTAAATCTTTTGCTGGTCATTCTTTTCTGAATGCAAATGGACAAATTCTTAAGCCCTCTTATTCATTTCATGATGATCATTAGACAAAAAAGAAAATTAAGCCAAGCTTGCATATTGAAAACAAAAACAAAAACACACACAAAAAACCCTGCAGATAATAAATATCGCTGATTCACTTATTTTAAACAAAGTCCAACTTTATTCATTCTTAATATCCTTGCAGTCCATTATATACCTTCTGCACTGACCCTTGTTTCAGGAGCTGTTTGATACCTGAAGAAAGAATGAACAATGACTCCATTAACAAAGAATGTTACTTTACTAGAGTTTAAAGAACATATTTCAAGAAAAGGCTCATAAAAGGCCTTATGACAAACATGGACGTGAATTAAATAACTACCAATCTCCAATGTAATCGCATGGAGGTAACCCCACACATGCCTATGTGTGTTCAGGATGATCCCTAATCTCTTTGTTTTAGGCCCCCATACCACATACACACAAAGCCCTATAAAATGAGGAATGAGAAGAGGCAATCAAAAGGGAAAGAAAACTCTTCAGCTGTTTTCCATTCCTTCTACTGTATCCTCTTTTCAGTTTTTACCCCCTTCATTGCTCTCCTTTCTCTTACTGTTTAGGACCCCCAGCAGGGCCCTCTTCTCAACCAGTCATTCTAGACGTGCACCCCTAAGCTTCTAATCTTTCTACTGTCTACCCCATCTTCCCTTTTACAGTGTGGTCCAGCTCATTTGTTTTAAGTGATTCTGTTTCACTCACACACACACACCCCCCATATCCCATACCTTCTCTTGCTTCCTCTGTTAACTGTTCTTTTGGAAAATCCACATCAAAAGTGATTATCAAAGAGCCCTTGATATTGTTGTTGTCAAAGTTGGGAAGCCCTTCCCCTTTCTTCCATAGCTTTGCTCCTGGCCTGGTGATCTTATCTCGGGAAATATGTACCTAGAAAACAAAAGGGAATGTACTTCAGCAGGAGTGGCACATCTGAAGCACATCACGCAGCTTCTAGTGAGCACTGGTACACAAAGCTGATGTCACAGCTCAGCAAAAAGAAACGATGAAGGAGCAAAGGAAACGCCATTAGGACAATATGAGTCAAAGAAACAAGGTTTTTAAAAAGAAAAACACAAAAACAAATTAAAAAAAAGAAAGGTTTTCATCAATAGAAATTATAAAGACAAGACTGTCAAGGGCTGTGCAATCCATTCTGCATTCTGAGTAGCTGAAAGGTCTGGCACTGTTACTGCTGGATGCTCAGCAGCAGAGTAAGCCGAAAAGGCAGAATACAACCGAGAAAGGAGTCCCGCTGGTTCTCAGTGACTGAAACAGGTGATCAATCTCAAAACTACCCACATAAAGGCTTTAAAAGGACAGAGAACAAGTAAATTGGTTGGTTTACCTTGTGACCATCCAAATGAGTAATAGCCATTTCAAAGCCAACCAGCGACTCAACTAATGAGATTGTCACATTTGTGTACAAATCATCTCCTCTCCTTTCAAATATTGGGTGCCTAAAAACAGAACAAGGTAAAAATCATTAATTTCCAACTTTCTTTAAGTTCAAAGAGTTCTTAGAAAAATCTTGGAAAAAGGCGAACACCATTCTTTCAAACAATAAACATTTCATAGACATACCTCTGTGTATAGTATTAACTGAGAAAATTAAGTTATTATTAAAGTTATCTGTTATTATTAAATGCTAATCTTAAGGAACACATAATCAGCAAAAGGCAGAGTATACGTAAAAATACATTAGATTATGGAAAAGGGAGAAAGACAACTTCTAGGGAGATCATCTTCAGAAATGGGTCTATAGAAATTTCCTGTGCTAGGCTCACAGGACTAAGTTGGCTGCAGAAATGCAGATAAAATGGGTGCAGGCAGGGGAAACAGAATGAGAAAGAATTCTGGCAAAGACTAGGAAGGTGTCAGGTTTATTCAGGAAACAACACACATTCCAGTTTCTCTAAGAAGTGATGATAAAGACAAGGCAGGTAAAGAAGCCAGGGAAAACAACACTGGGGTTAAAGAGTGCATGGAGGAAAAGTCCCAGACAGTGGGGGGGCCATTTCTCCATATGCTGGTGGGAACCCCGTTTGGATGACTCCTTATAGAGGCAGAGGTATTACTGGTTTCCAAAGTGGTAACAAGAGAAAGAGTAATCAAGAAAGCCGGAGTCCCAGGCAAAATTATCATCTAAGCAGCACTTCATGCTGAAGAGAAGCTCACAAAAGAAAAGCTCTCTCTTCACAGAAGCTGCATATGATGTAGAAGCTTCTTTCTATGGAAACATTTCCTTTTCTTGTATGGTGCCATAGTTCTTCAGCTAACATCTCAGCTTTGACTCCCTATCTTGTTGCTTCTCTTTTATTACTCCTTACTTATCAATTCTTGCCTTTCAACATCTTTTGCATTTGTAAGTCCTAAGTAAATAAATAACTGGGGCTCAATCCTAGGGCCCAATCCCAAGCTTTCAACCTTGTAGAGGTGTTACAAATCATCATTTAGGGTAATATGGGAATGAAACAGAGAAAAAAGTCTGTAACTGCTCTGGAGGCCACCCACATCTCTATAATCTGACTCATCTGAGAAGACCTCTAAAATTAGATTACTTACTTGACAACTTTGATTCGGAACCGTAAATCTCCAGGCTCCCCATCCACATGAGGCTCACCTAGTCAGAGCAGATTACATCATATTGTAAATCATACAAGTTGAATACCAGAAGTCTATCTGGCAACTGAGAAATTTTTTTAATCCACTACTTTGGGCATTGACCCTGTCAGATCTATCTGTGAGGGCAGCATCTCCGCCTGGTTAGAAGTTTCAGATTATGAGAAATCATCACCTTTGCCTTAGATACAGCAGTACACAACTTGACCTAGTTCCTAAACAAAGAATGATTCACTGGTCTCCTAAACCTAAGTCTTACAGCTTTTTTTATTTGTAGAGTTTTAAACTTAAGTCTAAAGGTGCAGTCCTGCGAGTATCTTATTAATATCAACTAGAGTTACATAATCTTCTTTCATTGCTGAGTGAAAATTCATTAAAGGTCTAAACACCCTAAATTTTGATAAAACTTTGGCTACGTCATAATAACTTTTGGCCATGACATTCAAAGGATAAACAGCAATGCTATTGCTTCAGGTGAACAGAAGGCTTTGCATACCCTAAAACTGGCTGGAGAGTGTTGGAAATGACATATACATTTACTATGTGAACAGTACAATGGAGTAAGGCAGAGGTGAGAGGTACTCACAGGCAAGCAGAGAACAGAAAGTTATGACAATAAAAATCCACTATCAGTATTTCACCTTCTCCAATAAAGGGGTATTCCATGCCGTCTCTCACTCCAGGTTCTATTTCTACTTCCAGCGTTCGCTCTTCATTCACTAGCCTGAGATAAAGAGAATTAAAAGAGAAGGAAAATAATGAAAATATAAACAGAACATCAGATATAGATAAAGTTTTATTTATTTTATCAGCGCTTTTTCTTGGAAGACTATAGTGTGCCTCCACTTGACCAAACTATCTAATAATCATTTACATCTTCTATATGCTAAAATCCAGGGCAAAGCTACCATATGTTGTATAAACATATAAGGCTGCTCTAATAGTACAAGATGGAAGAAAATGAAGCATTTTGAATATATCAGAAATAAAGGGCACTGCTTGTTAGTTCAGAAACATAAAAGGAGATATTTAGAAGAAACACTGCAGAAAAAAATGTACGTTTTGCCCTGCCCTTTTGCAGAACATGGCAGTGGGGAGGAGACAGAGAAAAACTAGTATGGACCGTTAGCATTTGACTAGATAAAGGAAATTAACAAGTATTTCTCGGTAGAAGAAAGAAGGTGCTTTCACTTACTTGACATTTGGGCATTCATCACAGACCACCTCCTGGGTCATTTGGAAGCGTCCAGGGCCCAGCTGGGTGGTCCGCATCTCTTGCCGACAGTTGCATTTCCGTTTGCCAGGAGCCTGCCTCGCCACAGGTTTGTTTCTGACTACCTAGGAAGTGAATAAACAACATCAGCTTCTCCCTGCTTTTCGTTTCCTCAACTGATCGAGGCTCTGTACATGTGCCCGGACTGAAGCGTCCCCTTCTCTGGCAGTCTATCCCTCAGAGATCTAGAGCTGACAAAACTCTTTGAAGAGTACAAATCAGCCCCCAACAGGAATGAAGCAAACACATACTTCAATGACTCAAATTCTAAAGCTGGAGAAGTAGAGACAGGAGTAAGAAACAAGAGAACCGAAAAATGAAGTGTATAATATCAGCATTTCTAAGCCACAACTAAATGCTACTAAGTTAAAGTAGTTCATGTAATTATTATCTTTTAAGAAATCCGAGTTGTGTAAAGCATAACCCCTGAGGAACAATCGCCAGCTTCAAAACCGGGTATGTGGCTGCCATCCAATCCTATGATTAACCTAATGAAAATGCCTCCTTATTTCAGGAAACTCAATCCAGGGCTATTTTCTGAAGCTATCTCCATTCAGATACTTTAACATGTGGAAGAGAAACAATGACCATCTCTTTGTAGTTGAATGCAATCAAACATTCTGATCCCTCTAAGAATGTAACATTGATTTATATACAGAAATGTATTCCTAGTGTTACCTGTTTAATTAGTCAAACATCTAATCACAAGGTATGTGCTCATGCAGCAGAATGACAAATGCTTGGAGAAAAATCCCTTAAAGCCTAACAACACATAAAAGGCCCAGGTCAACAGAAGAAATTATAGCAACAATAACAGTCATTAGAGCAAACACTTTACAGCACTAAATTAATATATGCCAAGCAATGTGCCAAACACTTCTACAAATTCATTTAATCCTCACAACAACTGTTAGAGGTAGGTACTGTTATTATCCCCATTTTACAGATGGGGTAACAAAAGTATAGAAAGGTTAAGTAGCATGACCAAGGCCACATGACTAATACATGGGAGAGCCAGGATTCTAAACTAGGCAGTCTAGCTGCAAAGTCCATGCTGCTTAACCATCTTACTATCTTACTTCTCAAGGTACTTTTTTCTTTAAAAAGAATTTACATACAGAAGGAGCAGGAGTGAAAAAAAGGAATAAAGAATTTACCATGGGGTTATTGTACTAGTAAAGCCATTTACAGCCTTTACAATAATTGGATTAAAAAAGAGTTTGCTCAGGAACACACTAACAGCAAACAGCGATGTCTACCATGTATTAGTGACAACTGCAGAACAGCCTTGGAAAGGAACATGGGCGCTAATTAGGCTCACCTCTTTCCTCCCATCTAAACAACCTTACCCATTTACAAGTATTTTTAATGCCCTTTTCTCATATCCTGCAGCCTGAACAGTATTACAAGCCAGGTGCATCTTCTGTGACAGTCTATATCTCTTTTTTGAATTATTCAGAGAAGAAGCTTCAATTAAGAAGAATACGCTTTTTGTCAAGGTGGCACATATGCACAGGCAACCGGCTGTCTACTCCAATATCCTGGAAAAACTACAAGAAAACATGGATTCCAGGAAATAGTAACCACCACATAGAATATACAAGAAAATCCCACAGATAGAGGGCTGGTTTGAACTGTTTCCCCTGACTGAAGAAAACAAAAGACTCCAGTCAGCAAACAAAACAAAAAACACCCCATGAAACCAAGCAAAACAGTTAAAACCAGTGGGCCAGGGTTCAGCCCACGATGCTCTACAGGGAAAGGTAGTTGCTGGTACCTGCAAGAGAATATCAGCCCAAAGGCCAAGACAGCTAGATACCTGAGAAGTTCAATTACCTGCTGCTCTGCAAAAGACAACTAGCTGGATAACATATATATTTTAAGCCATTGTACTTTGCTTAAAAAAAGATTAGACAGACCAGGAACGTAAAACAATCATGATAATATTAAGGAGGTAGGGCATTAGCAAATGATTTAGAGTAAGAAATAATGCATGACTCAAGTAGAAATATTATGCATTAAAATATTAGTTAAAATTAAAATACAGCAGATGGGTTATTAGAATGGATATAGCTGTATCCCATTAGATATGGGTTATCAGCTATATGGATATAGCTGAAGACGTAGTTCTTAAGTAAGCTGGGAGATCAAAATGAGGTACCTCCCAGAAGGAGGCAGTGAAGGATAAAGACACAACATTTATTTTTTTGTATTTAAAAGAAAGTTAAGAGCAGACAGAAAAAGTGATAAAAGAATTAAATATTATAAGAAATAATGAGAGATCTATTTCCAGAATTAAAAAAAAAGAATAACCTCATATAAAAAGATCTAAGAGTTTTAGCAGAAAATATAGATGAACAGCTTTCTTAGTTTATTAAAAAAATTTTTTTTCAGAGATAGGTTTCAGTTATGTTGTCCAGGCTGGAGTGCAGGGGCTATTCACAGATGAAAGCATAGGACACAATAGCCTCAAACTCCTGGACTCAAGCAGTCCTTCCACCTCAGCCTCCTAAGTAGCTGAGATTAAAGTGTGCTCCACTGCACACAACTGCTTTCTTATTTCAGAACAACAAAAAAAAGAATTTCTTTAAAAGGACACGAAAACTAACCACTAAAGACTGATAGACTTGATCACATTAAAATTAATTAGTTCTGTTTGCTGAAAATTGAAATAAATCCTTTTTTTGTTTTGACTGAGTCTCACTCTGTCACGCAGGCTGGGGTGCAGTGGCACCATCTCCACTCACCACAACCTTCACCTCCTGGGTTCAAACAATTCTCCTGCCTCTCAGCCTCCTGAGTAGCTGGGACTACAGGTGCCACCATGCCTAATTTTTGTATTTTTTAGTAGAAACAGGGTTTCACCATATTGGACAGGTTGGTCTCAAACTCCTGACCTCATAATCTGCCCACCTTGGCCTCCCAAAGTGCTGGGATTACAAGCATGAGTCACTGCACCCAGACAAAAATAAATCTTAAACATAATGAAAAGACAAGTTACAAACAGGTAGGCAATATTTGCATTACATACAGCCAACAAAGTTAGCAGCAAGAGTGAAGTATTCTTAGAAATCAATAAGAAAGAGGCAAAAGAATGAACAGGCATTTCACAAGAGAGGAAACAAATATGGCCAATAAACACAGGATGAGATGCTGATCCTAATTGGTAATTTTTAAAAATGTAAAATAAGACCATAATGAGATAATATTTTATACCCATTTGATGGGCAAAAATTAAGAAGTCTAATAATTCCAAGTATTGGTGAGGTAGTGAATCTATAGGATCTCATAAATTGCATGTAGAAGTGTCAGTACAATTTCAAAAACAATACAGTATTATCTTACAAAAATAAACACTTTCATAATACTCAGCAATTCTACTCTCAAGTATATCCACCCAAGAGATATTCTTGTTCATTTGAACCTAGATACATGGATTAAAATGTTCATAAAAGCACTCTTTGGAATTGAATGAAACTGGAAAAAACAAAAATGCCTATTAATAAATTATGGTCACAATATAATTTTATGCAGCAGAGTTGTAGCTATAAGCAACAAGGGTGAATCCTAGTAACATAACAGTGAGTGAAAAGGACCAGTCTCGGAAAATAATGAATAAGATACTTTTTCTACAAAGTCAAAACTGATACAACAAACAAGACATTATTCAGGTATTCATATACATGATAAAATAGGAATGGCAAAAGAACAATGAAGACATAATTCAATATAGTAGTTACTTCTGAAGGGAGGCAGGGTAATGGAACAGGGAAGTAGCATGTAGGTAGATTAAGTCACGGTAATGTTTTACTTAGTTCTCAAGCTGGGTGATAAGACAAAGACAAGTGTATCATGAACCAAAAATTATAATTAATTCAGTTTTCTGCATTTGTTCACTCTTACCCTCGAAAAGACAGAGAAGATACATAGAAACATCTTATTTTTAATCAAAAGTACAAGTTCTGGGAGTTAGTATGAACAGCTGTATTGTTTGAACTTACTTCAACAAAATTTCCTGCATATACTTCTTCCAAAGTGACTTCCAGATCTACAATGATGTCACTGCCTCTTGGAATATTTCTGTCTTGCTGACGAGGGGTTCCTCCAAACATGAACCCAAAATCCCCAAAGAAGCTGTGGAGAAGTATAAAGTCATCAGAAAAAGACATCAAGACTTCATGTTTCACAATTAATTCACTTTCTTTACATTGATCAACTCTTGTTTCTACCAATGCATTGTGCAAAACTGCAAGATATTTTTAATACAGTGGAGTCATACATCAAACACAATTTGAAATTTACACACTATCAACCACATTGTAACTATATTGTCCTTCACCATAAAAAAATTCACTCTTTAATACAACATGGCCTATACATAAGTACAGTACATACATACACACCATGCCAATGAATTCAATGTTGGACCCAACCAATGAAATAAGAATCTTTCAATATTGTGAAAAATCTGAATATGGTGGACTTACTGAGAAAGAGTACAGTATACATAAACTGTGTAATGCTAAATTTAACGGTTAATTTAAGGAATTTTTATGGGTAGTTTTCACACATGTAGTGTTCCCTTTACATGCTTTTTAGAAGCTAACATTGAAAGAAGCTACTGCTCTGCACAAAAATCTTGAGTATGTAATTAAATAAGCATCAGCCTTAGTAAAACCCTAGTGTTTTAAGGAGAAGGAAGTTCTGGCCTCTATAAGACCCAGACTAATTTTTGTAAGTAACAAAAGAATAACTTGAGATTAATAAAAAAGGTACCTTTTTTTCAATCCTACAGGTGGCTTAATCTAATGTTAATTTTTGATGTTATTAAGAAGCCTCAGATAATACCACAGTGATGATGATAACTATATAACTCCCTCTCCCACCAACCAACTCAGGTAAATGAATTCCCTGAATCTTAAATAAAGGCAAGGAGAGAGAACAGGATGCGGGCTGGGGAAGCTTTTTCTCTTTCTGGCATCCCTAGGGATCACTGTGGACAGCCAAATTGATCCTGTTGAGGGAAGGAGAGGTGGAGGTGGCGGGGAGATGTCCTAATCATGTTACTCATACGTCTTTACAGGCCCTAAAAATCTACTCCCTTACCCCAGGCCATCCAACCAAGCACTAAATGGTGGTGACTACTGTATGCAACAGTGATTCTTAACTTCTTTTGGAGAAGGGTTCACAGAACCCTTTGGGAATCTGAAGAAAACAATGAGCTCCCCCCAAAAAAATGCAGATTCAAACATCTTTTTGTTTACAATCGCAGACCCGAAACCCCAGATTAGGGTCTCTCAGTATATGTAATCATCAGGGAATGTGGAAATTCAAATGCTCAATAAAGTGGGGTTCAAAGAGTGAGGAGGAAAGGTGTTTATTATTCCAACCACCCAGCACTCCCAGAAAGCAATAGACAAAACTCCTCTACCCTAATTCCTTCTCCTAATGCTGGTTATTATCATCACCCTCACTTGTTGATAGTATGAGAGAGGCGCATCTCTGGGTATGGAAGTAGGACTTTTTCTGTCTTTGCTTACAATAATTTTGCTCATTAAGTAGTTTGTAGATTCCATGATAGCAACTAGGCAAGGATGAACTGGTTTCCAATACATGTCCTCCCCCACCGAGAACTGTCAGCATTGATTTCACTGATATGGTTGGGCAGATGGAATGTCCTTTTAGTGCCACCCCTCTTTCCTAAAGCTTTGTGAAAATAGAAGACTATCTTCCCACAGGGAGGACAATAATTGATCTTTGGATCCGCTGAATTGTACTATTCATCAAAAGCTTCTGAACTAGGGAATAAGAATAATTCTTTCATCGCTAAGTAACCCATTCTCAGACACTAATACTTTGCAGATGGGTAAATTACTCACTGTGAAAAAATGTCTCCATGGGAGCTCTGATGACCATCTTTTAATCCTTCTTCACCATAAGTATCGTACTGCTTCCGTTTCTCACTATCTGACAGAACCTGGGGTTAAAAGCCAGTGGAGGATAAGATCATGCGTTGGTAATATTCAGTTAAGGCACAGTCATATTTATGTTTGTTTTTACTTTGACACTGGGTCTAAAATTTTAATAGAATGTGGTTTCCATTATGTACTGTATTCAGCCATGTTTACAAAGTTATTTTCTCTCAGACTAAATTTTTGGATGCATTGTTCATTCCACATTGCTCAATTCATGCTTTTAATTTAAAGTTATCAAAACTCACCTAGTCACTAAAAAATAATATCTGAGATTAGCAATGTAGCTGTGAAGGTCAGGGAGGTAACAGGAAACAGGTAAGATGGATTCCTCAGGTTTACTTTCCATGCAGTTTGACTGGTGCTTACGCTGTTAACCACTATACTACCTTCAAAACAACGTGGCCACACAGGTCTACAACACCCCCTACCCAACACACACACACACACACACACACACACACACACACACACACACGAGGAAATCAAGTGACAGGCCCCCCCCGAGAAACCTACACAGCTATCTTTTCATTTTTTCGTATATGTAGAAATCCATTTGTGGAAGAATGCTGCCTGTCTTTTATATATGTATGTTTAAATCTGTAATGTCCTGAGTTTGAAATGCTGAGAGAGTAATAGGTGACAACACTCCATAAAGGTTATTCAAGGTCAATTTCACTCCTTGAAATAATTCTTAAAGTTTTAACAGTTTCAGAGAGCTGCATACACAATCATGATATATGCTTTTTTGCTGTATAATACTAAAGAATGTAAAAACAAAATAAGCTTCTGTTCTCTTCAAAATTTGCCTTCAACATGCAAAAAAAGTTATTTAGAGCAATCTGATGTATATGCACATATATACTTTTGAAAAGTAAATGGCTTTAAAATCTTCCTTTGATATTTAAAAACTTTTACTTAGACAAGAGGCTGAAGGAGAAAGTTATTTCAAAACCATATTCATGGTGGCCCAGAAAAAGAGAGGTTCAAAGTAGGTGGGGCTTGTTGACTTAAAAGAAAGGCATATTCAAACAGGACACAGTCTTGGCTTAGGGCCCAAATGAGGTGTAAGGAGTCATGGCAAAAATGTATTAACATTTAGGATATCCTTAAAAGGCTAAACAAAAATTGAGTATACAAGAGAGTGAAGAGTCTTAAAAGCAAAGGCAAATGGGTTATTCCAGAAGTGACCACAGTACTTGATTAAAGCCATATGATAGAAAAAGGGAGAGAAAAGAATGTTTTCGCAAATATCTTCAGAAAATAGGTACTTGGGGGAAGCAGAAATGGGCATAGTTAACTTAAAAAAAAAATTAAGAAAACCTCTTATCTGGATCTCCAGTGTTTTCACTTTTAGCCTACTTCCCTGATCTTATCTTGGCAAAGAAATGAACTCTGCATATGAGACTATAAAAAACACCATTTTAAAACCCCCAAAGACTCAGTTGCTTTTTAGACATCAGAGGCTTCTGTAATAATCTCCTAAAAACTGCTCTTGAAGTCATTTATTATCATTCACTTCCTCCTCACTTTTCTTCCATCAAGGAATGTAATTTTACTCCATGGTCTTGGAAACTATTTTAAAAGAAAAAAGTGTTTTAGTTGATTGGCAACCAATACACAGATTCCTAAGTACTTAAAATGCCAGCAGTAATCCTAGCTCTGTAGAGAAAACAAATTTGTATTCATAAAAGAATCTTCATAACTGTACTCGGATTCTAATTTGTGAACACTAATTTACCTAAGACTAAAGGCAATCAAGCTTGAATGATAAAAAGAAAAAAGAAATTTCAAGGGTTGTTAATAGTTAAATAAACTGCAATTTCATGACTGACCTTTGTATAGCTTGCCTACGTCATAGACAAAGAACATGTAGATTTTTTAGACAGCATGGTAAATTCAGCTTCTCTAGAAAATGTTTTTGAATATTGGGTTCCTGGCAAACAAGAGACTATTCATGGAACATTCAGTGCAAAATATGGAATCCATATTATTAACAAGAAACAAAATGTTACATATAATTTAGGATGGGCCATCAACCTTTTCAAGTTTATTCACATGCCTCAGGTTAAGAATTTCTGTCCCATATAGGCCGGGCGCAGTGGCTCAAGCCTGTAATCCCAGCACTTTGGGAGGCCGAGGCGGGTGGATTATGAGGTCGAGAGATCCAGACCATCCTGGTCAACATGGTGAAACCCCGTCTCTACTAAAAATACAAAAAATTAGCTGGGCATGGTGGCGCGTGCCTGTAATCCCAGCTACTCAGGAGGCTGAGGCAGGAGAATTGCCTGAACCCAGGAGGCGGAGGTTGCGGTGAGCCGAGATCGTGCCATTGCACTCCAGCCTGGGGTAACAAGAGTGAAACTCCGTCTCAAAAAAAAAAAAAAGAAGAATTTCTGTCCCATATGATCCCTGAAGGTGTTGAAAGAAGGACCCCAAGAGCTCTTGGATTCACCTGGGTACGAGTCACTGTCTCAGTTCCATTGCTTCTTTAATCTAAGAGGTTTTGGGATTCCTTTCTTTTGAGCTTTGTGTCTTCCTAAAATATTTTTCAATTTGTTTCTAGCCTTCTCAATATACAAGAATTTTAACTTAAATTTGGGAGTTTTAGCTCTGTGACTTTTAGTTCAATTAATTTTCTTCTGTGTCCATTTAGAAAATGAGAAAATATGCCTAGCTCTACTATATTTCCTGGTGTCCTAGTAAAGATTAAATGAGATGATACACATTAAAGTGTTTTGACCCCCAGATTAGAGGTTGCAAAATCAAATTAAAACTGTGCTTTGTTTGATCTATGTAAAAAAGAAATTTAACTGAGTTAGTTACCAACATTTTTACAAGCAGAACTTCTATAAAAATCTAGATTTTCAACTTTTCTTGAAAAATTAAATCATCTAGGAAAATACTGTTTGCATTTATATGACAAAAATTGGTTGGGGTTGAGTAACAGCTGCTCCCTTGAAATAGGGCAAGGAGCCTTCAGTTTGTCAAAGTCCTCAACAATCCTTATTGCTTCCCAATATAGAGGCAGAATATCTGCTGCCATGTTTTAACTTATACCTGCCTTGCGTGTCATTTGTCTAGTTCATATGGTCATGTAAGGTTTGCAACTCTCATGAAGGTTTTCTTTTTATTTTTGGCTCTAGCTCCCAAACTGATTGACTGATAGACCAATCAGTTGATCTACTTATTAATCTATCAATCTTTCATTTATTCTTTTTCAACATTATTCTCCTTATTGAAATAAATATTAATATAAAAAGGAAGAAGATGGCATCTACTAATGTGAATGTAGTATCTAGTACAATACAACATCAAGTACTACTTTTACTTTTATATACTGTTTAGTTTTTAAATAAAAGTGACCTTGGCTGGGTGCAGTGGCTCATGCCTGTAATCTCAGCACTTTGGGAGGCTACGGTGGGCAGATCACTTGAGGTCAGGAGTTTGAGACCAGCCTGGTTGGGTGTGGTGGCGGGCGCCTGTAATCCCAGCTACTCGGGAGGCTGGGGCAGGAGAATGGCTTGAACCCAGGAGGCGGGGGTTTCAGTGAGTGCCACTGCACTCCAGCCTGGGCAACAGAGCAGGACTTAGTCCCCCCCCAAAATAATAATAAATAAAAGTGAACTGAAAGGAGTGTTTCTCTATAGTAAATGTTTTTTCTACACCTACAGATTTTATTCATACTTCATCATTTTTTAGGACTCACCTCATAAGCAGCACCTAGATCCTGGAATTTCTCCTGGGCTTGTGGATCATCAGGGTTCCGGTCAGGATGAAGCTGCAGGGCTAGTTTCCTATAGGCCTTTTTAATGTCCTTTATAGAGGCACTTCGAGGCACCCCCAAGATCTTATAGAAATCTCGCCTGGGAAGTAGAGGGAGAGAATACTTCATTAAAGAGTTATATGTTACATTTTTAAAAGCAAAAAAAAAATGTTTTTCCTCTACATTTAGGTCAGTATCTGAGTAGAGAAATACAAAAATGGTTTATGCGACACATACACACACAAAGAATGACTAAAAAGACAAACACCAGAATCTGTAAGTAAGAGGCTATATACTTCTTTTTAGATTATTCAAAACATCCGTGGAACTCTTCTTTTAAAGCCACCTTCAATCAAGAAAACCGCTTCCTTATTTTATGGTCTCATGTTATTTTTAGGCAATAATCATGTAGTCAAATGAACTCTTCCTCCCTTTCCCTATACTGGCTCCAAATGACTTTTGACTTTTCTAAAAGTCAAATAACATTCTCAAAGGATGACTTTCCTTATTTAAAAAGATTATGCCACTTAAATGTTCTAACAGTAGCACTGCCAGAACATTAAAGATAAAGCAACTGAAGATAATACATAGCTCAAGAAGCTGGGAAGTACAAGGGCTCTCCAAGGGTCTTCTTGCTCCCCTCCCCCATCCGATTTCGTTCAGTCCCAACTCGATCTGGCATCATCCACCCACTTTAATGTCGGCCCCCCCAATGACTCGTTGCAGGCTTGGCATAGGGTATCTCCGCTTCTCCAGCTCAGCGGGGCACAGCAACCCACCTCTTCGATCAAACAAACGTCCATCCCTCCCAGCCTCAGCCTGACCCTGTCATTACCTTGCCATACAGTCAGTCACCCCTCTTTCTTCCCCAGCTCTACGTGACAATGCTTCAGCTCACAACCACCTTCTTTCCCTCAAACTCTCCTCATCCCCCAAATGCCATTTGGCAATGCATCCAACTCCCACTCCTCTGGGCAAACCTAGCTCTACCTAAGGCCCTCTCTGGACCTAAAGCCCTCTCCCTGGTGTCACCCACGGTTCTCCTCTCACCCCACTGGCCATGCCTATGCTACCCTTTCCTCCGCCACCCCGCCACCCCACAGCGATGCCCCTCTCCACTCCCGCAGCCTGGCAATGCCACATCCCCCACTCCCTCCCACCCCCAGCAACGGCTGACCCACGGGCCCCGTGTCTGCTCCTCACCCGGCAATCACGGCTCCGATGAGGTACAGCAGCAACAGGCAAAAGGTGCTCAGGTTCTGCGGAGCCATGGTTCCTCTGTCCCGGGTCCTGTCCCACACACTCCTCTCAGCCCCGTCCGCCGCCGCCGTCGCCGCCGCCGCGTCGGCTCGCCAGCCCACCCGGCCCTGGGAGGCCGCCTCACACCGGAGGGCGGGGTGGGGTCTCCTCCTTGGTCCGAAGAGACAGCTAGCTAGCCCCGTCCTCTGCCAGTCCACTTCCCGGGAATCCCGAGTCCCGGTGAGAGAAGTCCCCGGCGGGCGAGAGCCAATCGTTGCCCGGGACATCACACGCGGCCGGCGCCTGGAAGCCAATGAGCGCAGTACACTTCACCTCCGAGGCGGCAAGGGCAGCCAGTTAGGCTTCAGAATTGCAGTCGCAGCTCCCGACCAATTAGAAGAATCGACGTCAGAGAATTGCGCCGCTGCTGGAACCCGCTCTGTCCGAGCTACCGCGAGTCGTAGAAAATGACGTAAGGTAGGGGGCGAGGCCGGGTGAGGGCACCTGAGGTACAAGAAATCCCCTCCGGCTCGCCTACTTCCTCGGACTTTCCACCAATCAGGAGGCTCATCCCCGGCACTGACCAATTGCGGGAGAAAAGTTTTCTCTCAGTTACAAGTCTGGAATTTCATTCATATCCAGCTTCGCACCGAAAGAGGGAGCAGAAGTACAGCGGCAGAACGAGCCGGGACAGTTATTCCACGACTGCTGTACACTGGACGCATTGCTTAGGACTCTTATTTACGTTCTCCAAGCAACTCCGTAAGGCAGCCGTCTCGGGAAGGCGACCGTCAAGATAGACTGACTTAAGTTAGGATTCAGCTTCCACCACTAGAGGTGAGACTTCCCTATCCCTCTTCTCCTCCCAAGTCTGAGCCTACGTTTCTTTATCAGCAAAACTAAGGCAAAGTACTTATTGGCAGTGCTGTGAATTTTTACCGGGAAAAATTATCTGTAAATCGTTGGGCACATAATAGTAAGCAGACAATGAATAAAAACCGTTATTACAGTTCAAGCAGTTGATTCCCCCTCTTCCCCGGATTTTACTCATCACAGTTACACAACACCTAGTTGATCAGGACAAAACTCTAGGTGTTTTTATTCCTTTCATGTATAAGCTATCCAAATCTTTACCCCTGAACTATATACTTGAATCTGTCCACTATATCTGCATTACTGGGTCTCTGGATCACAGAGTATCTCTCACCTGGCCAGGGCCTCCTAACTGGTCTCCCTGCCCCTACTCTTAATATCTTCCTTAATACCTTAATATATGTTGCTCATCCTGTCCCCCACTCCATAATTTAAAAAGAAAGACCGGTAATCTCAGCACACTGGGAGACCGAGGCGGGCAGATAACCTGAGGTCAGGAGCTCAAGACCAGCCTGGCCAAAATGGTGAAGCCCTGTCTCACTAAAAATACAAAAATTAGCTGAGTGTGGTGGCGGGCGCCTGTAATCCCAGCTACTCGGGAAGCTGAGGCAGGAGAATCCCTTGAATTTGGGAGGTAGAGGTTGCAGTGAGTGGAGATCGCACCACTGCACTCCAGTCTGGGCGACAGTGAGACTCCATTTCAAAAATAAGTAAGTAAAGATAAATAAAAATAAAAGTCAAATCATGTCACTCCCCTGCTTAAAAGCCTGGAATGACTCTTCCTTTGCAGTTAGAATAAAATCCCAACTTAATGCTAGTTTACAAAGCTGTTTATGCTTTGTACTCTCACCTATTATACTCCTAACCATGGTCCAGCAAAACTTGCTTCCTTTCTTTTTTGCATACACCTGCCGAGGGCCTTTGTGCTAGCTATTCCCTTGGCCTGAGACACTGTACTCTCCCCCATGTCCTGACATGGGTGATTCCTTCTTCAACTCATATAACAGCTTAAAGGTCACCACCTCAGGGAAGACTTCCCTGACCACTCAATCAGAATTAGCCCCTACTGAGTTCCTTACTCTTACACCATCCTGTTTTCTTTTTTTTCCTGAGACAGAGTGCATGCCCAGGCTGGGGTACAGTGTCACAATCTTGGTTCACTGCAACCTCCACCTCCCAGGTTCAAGTGATTCTCCTGCCTCAGCCTCCCGAGTAGCAGGGCCGATAGGCACATGCTACTACACATTTCTAATTTTGTATTTTTAGTAGAGACGGGGTTTCACAATGTTGGCCAGGTTGGTCTCGAACTCCTGACCTCAAGTGATCCACCTGTCTTGCTTCCCAAATTGCTGGGATTACAGGCATAAGTCACTATGCCTGGCCTACGATTTTGTTTTATTTTTTTAATCCCTGGACTCTAGACTTACACACTGAAATACCAGTTTCATGAGAGCATAAATCTATATTGTTCTGTTCACAGCTGTATGAAACAGCACTTTAGAACACTGCCTGGCATGGAGTAGGTGTGGAAGTATTTTTGTGTGGAGATTCCCTCAGGGTGGCTGGCAAAATAATTAGGGAAATATTAGGGAGAGTTATAGAGATTATTGTCTCAAACCTTTTGGTTTGAAAGGTTTTATTGGGACAGGCTGAAGGCACCCAGTTCATTTACATTAGATTAGGGAAAAGATAGAGACAATAAGAAGCTTTCCCAGTTAAGTCTGTTTACCCCACATCCCTTTGTCTCTACTTTGTTTGCTCAGGTAAACTTTGTGCTGGATGGTCCTCTCAGGGGCAGATCAAAAGGGAATTAATTACCCATTAATAGTGTTTACTCTGGGCATGGAACCAAAAGCTTTTATCATTGATAAAACCACTCTTTTAACCATGTTAGTTATCCACCAGCATGTTAACTTAGAAATTGTTATGAAATTCATACTGAATAAATGTGAGGATGGAGAGGGGGTTGCCCTCTGAAAGCAGCCGATAACCATCCCTAGCCCACTTGAATCACTGAACTAGATGTGAGTGCATTTATTCATCCATCATTGAGTCAAGGTCTGCGGGACAGACCTCCGCAGGTCGTGGTTGATGTCTCATTTTTGAGTAAAATTTACTTGGATGGTGATCATTGTATGGCTGGCTGCTTATTCTTCAGCCCTCAGCTCAAATTTGGCACTACAAAGTGGCCCTCCCTGAACCCCTGCCCCAATTTTCATAGCATTTATCACTATCTGAAATTATCCTATTTTATTCCTTAATATGTATTGTCTATTCTCTCTGTTACACACTCCCAAGAAAGCAAGGACCTTGTCTGTTTTATTCACTCCTATAATTCTAGCGTCTATCCCTGTGCCAGAAACACAGTGATATTCAACAAGTAACAGCAAGGCCCCCGAGCTAGTTAAGTGGTGTAGCCCGGATTCTAACCCAGGTCTGTGGAAATTTGAAGCCCCTGCTTTCAGGAAGATACCCAGCAGGGACAGAAGCCACACAAAAGAGGAACTAAATTGCATTTTAGGGTTTATTTTCCTTTGTATCTTCCACACCTAGAGAGGCCATAAACGAACTAAAAAAAAAAAACCAGGAAGTGTCCAGAAATCCTGAAATGGAAGTTTAAAGGAAGTAGTAATGGCTTCTGCTGGGTAATCTGAAAAAGCCTCATGAAAGTGGAAACACGTGGGGAAAACTAACAGCGTTCAGAAGCCAACACTGAGGGGCTGCAGGGAGTGCCAGTCTTGCTTCAGACCGCCCGGGTTTGAATCTTGGCTCCATCTCCTGCAGTGTGACCTGAGGGGTGTGTTTTCACCTTTCTATGCCCTAGTTTCTTCATCAGTAAAACAAACGTACTTAAAGGGCTCTTGAGAAGACTGAGGAAATGCGAAAAAGTTGCTTGGCACAGTGTTGAGACCATAGCAAGCGCTCTCTAAAGGCAAACTGCCATCAGTATTGGTAGTATTACTGATGGAAGCGTGCTGACCTTAGCAGCAGCTACTGGCTGGCCACACTTATGTGGAGCAACAGAAAGCTTCCTGCTCCCCCTGGGTTCAAAGGCGCGGCACCAGAAAGTGGTGGGTCCGGCTCCAGGTGCCACCGTCGAGGACTCTCAGTCCCAGCCAAGATTTTCTCAGAGGCTTAAGTCGCAATCTGCCGCTCTAGCAACGGGGTCCGCCGGGTCTCGGTGATGCAGGGCCTCGCGCTTGCGCAGTGGGCCCAGTGGCGGCGCGCGGCGGAGAGCGAGGGGCGGGACCAGCGAGGGGACGCGGGGCGCGGCGGCGCGCGGAGAATTGCGGCGGAGTGGCGCCTGCCTTAGCAGGTAACTGCGCCCGCGCTGGCGCCGGGGAGGCCGGTGTGGGTCAGTCATTCTTCAGGCTTGGGCCGGGGAGGCTGCCTTCGCGGTCGCCGCGTCTCAAGTGGACTACCGTCCCAGTCAGCCAGGGTGTCTGTGTTCCTGAGGTCTGGTCGCGGCGTTGGGGGGGGCCCACGCAGGATCCCACCCGGGGTCGCGTCCGAGGTGGCGGCGAAGCCCCAGGCCCAGCGCCTTGGAGCCACGCAGATCTCCGGACCGGGAAAACCTTAACCCCGGCACACCGCCAGGGTCAGAGCCCCAGAGTGTTTACGGATTGAGCCCTCTCGACTCTCGGAGAGAGAATGGAGGGCTCATCCCTGGGATCTTGCCTTTGACAGGCTCGGTACCTCACAGAGCAGCCTCTTTACGTTTTGGAGAGAACTGAGGTCTTCCTCGCCTAACGTGCATCGTCCGCCTTTACTCGGAATGATGCCAGTCTCTCCACATTCGAAGACAGCCGCCTTTTGCCCTTCCACACACTTCCTGTCTAGGGCTGTTAATTCTGGAAATTCTCTTCTGGGTCCATTCTCCCCACGCACCCCCCCCCCCCTTTTTTTTTTTTTTAACCAGGCTGACCAACATGTTTCTTGTTGCCCAGGCTGGAGTGCAATGGTGCAATCTCCGTCTACCGCAACCTCCGCCTCCCGGGTTCAAGCGATTCTCCCGCCTCAGCCTCCCCAGTAGCTGGGATTACAGGCATGCGCCACCACGCCCAGCTAGTTTTGTATTTTTAGTAGAGACAGGGTTTCTCCGTGTTGGTCAGGCTGGTCTCGAACTCCCGACCTCAGGTGATTCGTCGGCCTCGGCCTCCCAAAGTGCTTGGATTACAGGCGTGAGCCACCGCGCCCAGGCTCCACTCCCATTTTTAAGAGACTCTTCCAAAACTGGATTCCCAGAATACATTTATAGCCATGCAGTTCTCAAGTCAGAGCTGAATCCTAATCTAGGGCTATGCTGTCTGAGTATGTGTCCTTAGGGAAATCTCTTAACTTCGCTAAGCCTCATTGTTTTAATTGGAAATGTGTAGCCATAAGTAATGTATCTCCAGGTGGTTGTGAGGGTGAAAGGAGGTGAAGTATGCAAAATCATTAGCATG